TCTTGCCCAAGGACACAACGACAGCAGTCATGAAGTAGATCTTATGGTGGGCTCGAACCCACGACTTTCAGGCTCAAAGGCTAATGCTCTACCAACTGAGCTACTGTCGCCCCAATAACAGTATTATTTATTTTAATTGTCTTTGTGAAGAAAAAGTATGAGAAGGTAATTGTTAGCCATAAATGGGAATTAAATTAAATTTCAAAGACTATAGCCAAATATACAGATATCATTTATTGAACAATGAATCAATATTTATTGTCACAGGCCAAAGCAATCCATAACAATAATCAGTGAAATCGTGACAGCAACAAAAGTTACATCAAATATATTGTTGTCATATGTCTCTTTTCAATATCAAAATGTCCGAGGCCATTTCATGTTACTAAGGCCCAGTTCAGATGTCCTCCTGATGTAACTGTTACGACTACTAAAATAGCATAAAAATCCATGAAAACTATTCATTTGAACATTTTTCGAGATACATTTACAGCGACACATAATAATCTATTGCTACACATTACACAATTTCTGCTTCGATAGCTACATTTTGCATCATTACAGCAGCAGCAGAGAGCAAAACAATCCAGCTCTGTCTTCTTTGACCGTGTCCCATGCCAGGGCGTTTATGGTTTGTTATTCTGCGGCACATATTTTATGGTCCATCACATTTCGCCCGATTTCTTTCCAAATGTGAGTAATAGCCTCGCTCTAATAGTGAATCAGAAGTAACATATCCATCTACCATTCAGAGCACTGCCCTTCAGGATATTTATATTCACATTAATATGACACAATGTCCTAAGAGTGAGATTACACTTTACAGGCCATTGTTTTAAATAGTTCATTTTAGGTGACATTGTTGTAATCAAACTGAACATTTTTGAGAAAGAAATATTTGTAGAAAACATGTTACAATGTGTTTATTTTACAACAATAAAATATTAGCAAAGCACAAGTACCTGAATGATGTTTTTTAAGCCACATCAAACTAAGTAACATTCCTGATGAATCCAGTCTCAGTGTCCAACCACAAAGTCAACAAACCAGTAACTGTAAAACTAAGCAGCTGAGGAAGCAAGTTTGACTTGAGAACCACATCAACTGCAGACAGGAAGTGAGTTTTGCATTTATAAGAGGCTGCTCTACGCATACCATGAGACCAAACAGTTATTCTTAACAAGAAAGTTTGAATCTAAACTCTAAACAGGCCATGTCACAATACGCAGCAGCGGCAGAAACACAGAGTTGCAAAAGCTGATCCAAAGTGTTAAATAAACACTGAAATGTAGGCCAAGAAAACCAGGCCAGGAGTTTGGTCGGAAGTCTTGGAATAACTTTGTTTCATTGCTAACCATCTCTGAACTGCTATATTTCTACTTACGGCAAGGCAGCCGGCTTGAGGAAAGAATAAAAGGTTGCATATGATGGCATTTATATATAACAGTTCTGAGTCAGTCAGGGGCATTTTGCTGTGAACATCAGACAGACTTGGGCAGTGGAAGTTGCTTAACTTTTACATTATACAATCGTTTTGTGTGACGCAGGTGTGGACATCATAGTACCACAAAGGGCATGTGCTAACACCTGCAATGGGAACATCTGGCTGCTACTACTGCTGCTTGGGGCACTGAAAAAAAAAGCTTGATTTGTGGGGCCAAAAACACCACGGTTAGCCACATATGTGCTGACACATTTGTTTTGTCCTGCCTTCCAAATAACATAAATAGAATATATTCTGCTGTGTCAGGTTATTTTGTTGATTCATGTTTTATCAAACCAAACTGGACATGGATTTATTTCTAATGAATGAGATGCCTGGAAAAGGACAGTGATTTATATAGTGTGCATAGTTTTTTTACAGGGGGTGTGTGAGATTTAGAATTTAAATGTGTCATTTATTCATGAACCTTGACACAAGGACGACATGTACAAATCCTTTGGCCTGATTAAATGTGAATTTGTTCTAAATAAGAAATACACTTTTTACATTGGAGTGTGTACATGTGTGAGTGTCTCCACTGGGTTGTTTCAATTGTAAAAATTCAGCTGGTTTGGTTTTTATCTTAGACCTATGTGAATTATATCAGTAATCAGACCTTCTGGAGCTAAATGCAGGAACCTTTGGATTAGAGTTGTAATGACGTAATAATTGCATATTACTATTTCACATTGAGATCGAGAACAAAACAAACAAAAGTATAACAAACAATCTAATTTCAAATTCAATAAATTGCTAAAACTATTAATTATAACCAGTTAAATGATTACTGTATGAACATGAGTTCCAATCTCTAAGTGAATGTGCCCAAATGAATGGGTGAAGAATGCCACTTAAGGCCATGTGTTTTCATGGTCTTGTGCCAGGCGTCTTTTTGGGAGTGAAGCAAATGAAATGTGGCATTTGTTAAAATGCATGGAGCCATATTCATTAAGCCTTTGACGCCATATTAAACCAAAGACAGATGTTTTCAAAGGGGGCCTGGAGATCCTCGGAGAGCCAAAAATAAACATACATGACCTTAGGATTGTGATTGGAAAAAAAAACCATAACAAGGAAAGGAAAGAAAGAGAACTGGTGTTTGAAGAGCAAAAGAAAACATTATATGTTGTCTATCCAAAAGTATGACCATAATATAGACATGGTCTGGCTCAGGGCTGCTGCTAAAAAAACAGTGTGAGAACATAAAAAAGTCCATGCAGAAATCAACCACAGTTCCTCTCTCAAAAGAGCTAAATAACTACGTATATGGTCACACTGTGAAGGGTCCAGTAATGACAGCATCGCTAATTGGTCAACAGTGCATTTGTGATGGCAGTCAGTGATGTTTTTGTCAGATACAGTGGAGAATCAGACCACAACGGGAAGCCACACATTCACGTTTAAGGAAGTACGCGGTTTAAGGAAGTACGCGGTTCTCATCAAAACCACAAGCCATTACAACATTACATTACAACAGGATTTATTGGGACATTAATATGAAGGGAAAAACACTCAACTGAGCTTAATTATTTACAACCTTACACCAATGTATTTTTAAGCCAATTTACAAGTATACTATTGTATTCAAAATAATTGCAATTAGGTATTATGTTAAGCAGCATCAACATACCATCCCACTGTACATGATTACATGACAAAAGTAGAATCTATTTCAAGAAAAGCCTATTGGACTTTTATGATCTTGATGATTATGTGATACTTGATGTTTTGTTGGTGTTTTGAATTCTAATAAATAAAGTAGCACTTTGCTGGTTTCTTTTAAAATCTAAGGTGCAATTCAAACAACATGTTTTATTATAATCATTATCATTATTTTTATAATGTTCTACAAAAAAAACGAGTCCATGAATTATAAAAAATATCTGTAGTTATTTACTCAATGCCAGAGGCGTATAAAACCTTTTTGTTGTTTAAACACACTCTAAAGAGCTGTTGAATGAACATTTGGAAAATACACTAGACGCACTGTTCGCTAACATATACAAAGACAAAACCCATGTTGTTGTTTTAGTATTACTGTATATACTGGTCATTTTCACAATGAAATGCTGCTAAAGCTGAATATAGTGAGTTTGCTCATTGAAAAGTCCCAGATGTGCAGCTTCATGTCAGAGTGACTCAGGGCACATCAGCTCGCCTCAACAACAACATAAGCACCATTTCACAGTCTCCGTTCTGTAAATCACCAAACCAACGCTTTTCTTCACCAAATTTGAGGATGTTTGCACACACCGTTTACACACATCGTTTACACACATCGTTTACACACATCGTTTACACACACCGTTTACACACACCGTTTACACACATAATTTACACACATTGTTACACGCAGTGACGTGTAGTGACGAAGGCACAATGCCTCGACCACAGAAACACAAAAGGCGTTAATGTTTATGTCAATGTGTTAAACTGAAACGGGGCTAAACAAATATGATATATTTTGCATGTTTGTTGATGCAACAACTTTGTTTTCATGTATTCAAATTTAAATACAATCTATATGTTTTGATTTTGTATTTGGTATTTACAGTAAGTAATGTTTATTTATATAGCGCATATTACAGATCGAGGTCATCCAAAGCGCTTTACAATTGTTCAGAGTTCAGATAGTTTTTCCATTTTCTCCACACACAGTGATGACGGAAGTGAGTCGCCGAACACACTGGCACATTAAAGCCTCCGACCAAACACCATTCCCTCACTCATTACATTCAAAACACATATAATTTTAGACAGAAAGTTTTGATGAAACCCACTAGTTTCTCTGTACATACAGAAATACTAAAACATCAATACTAAATATGTTTTGTCTTTATAAAGGGGACAGGGGACGGTCTCACGCCACAAGATCTTTCAAGATAAACTAGATTAATCCCATATCCTCCCTTACTTTTTCTATATGTTTACATTTGGCTTGGGAAAAAACGGGTTTTGTTGGTGAGTGACACTTCTAGAAATCTTTATTTAAAATGCTTAGAATGGTGCACAAAAAAACTAACAAAATGTAAGGAACCCATGCCATATACTGTAGATCATCTAAATAATTACAGTTTGTGTGGACTCTAGATGATCCTGGAGGTCTTTTATTGGCCTGTAGTTTTCACCTAAAATGTATATTGAACTTATTTTAGTTCAATATTCTCAATACTCACTTTTGCATTTCAATATTTGGTTAATTATAGTGTAATTGTACCTATGTGTACAACTTCCTGTGTGAGTGAAATGTGCTAGATGTGCTGGTAAAGCTGGATGTGGATACTTTGGAAATTCCCCCATTTTTTTAAGTGTATACAATGTGATGCAGAGGGAGGGCTGAGGTTTGTGGGAGGCGAGTGTTCATGACTAAGATGTCGTGTGGCTTAAATACAAGGTCCACAGTCTCACTTCAAGCAGAACAACAACAACAATCAAAGAGAGAGTTGAACAGAGGGCGTCTTGATTTAAGTATTAGTTCTGATCTGTACCTTCAATCATGAGGTGCCGTACTTTAGTTATGTGCGTAGTGTTGGGAGTCTGTCTGCAGAATGGATGGACACTTCCTCTCAAGTCTGTATTTGTCAACTTTCCAGGAGACATCATCAAAAATTCGACCGATATGGAGCTGGCAGAGGTGAGAAGTTTGCTGTAACTGGTTAAAATATATAACTACTAATATCTAAATTATAAAGAAAACTTCAGTAAACAAATGTAATCGTATTTCCTTCTTCAGAATTACCTGAAGAGGTTTGGCTACATGGAGTCGCTGCAGCGCAGTGGTTTCCAGTCGATAGTTTCCACGTCTAAAGCTCTGAAGCGGATGCAGAGGCAGATGGGCTTGGACGAGACTGGAGAGCTGGACCCCGCGACACTGGACGCCATGAAGAGACCTCGCTGTGGAGTTCCTGATGTCGCCAACTACAAGACTTTTGACGGGGATCTGAAATGGGACCATCATGACGTCACTTACAGGCCAGTGGCAGACAGCATGCACTTTGATGATAGTTACAAAAGTAACTGACTGCTGTAATATGATAAATGATAATACATGTTTAATATAATAGGAAGTGTTCAATTCCATTCATAAAAAATAAGATGCAACTTGTGTTGCTAGAAACAAATGTGACATTATCACAAGGTAGTGTGACTCCTCTACATTTTACATCATGTAAAAAAAAATATTACATAATCTTCTGGCAAGATCTCAGCATCTAGTAACCAGAAAAGTAAAATTGAGTAACTTTCCCAACCTTGAAAATGACTGCTTAAGCACACTGCCAATGGAAAAAAGACTGATGTAAAATATTTCTTGTTCACCACAGGATCCTGAACTATTCCCCTGACATGGACAGCTCCCTGATCGACGATGCTTTTGCTCGAGCTTTTAAGGTCTGGAGTGCGGTCACCCCCTTGAGCTTCACACGGCTTTTTGACGGCACAGCAGATATCATGATCTCTTTTGGAAAAAAAGGTAAGTGTTGACAACTTGAAGAGAAGAGAACTTTTGAAAGAATGTAACCATGAAGCTGTTATTGTGCAGATCATGGAGACCCATACCCCTTTGATGGAAAGGACGGCCTTCTAGCTCATGCCTATCCCCCGGGCGAAGGTCTGCAAGGAGACGCACACTTTGATGATGATGAGCACTGGACACTGGGCAAAGGGGCAGGTGAGTAAACCAAAGAATGTGGGTTGGAAGAATCCTAATAATGTTGTTTTACATTTGCAAATGATTTGATCCTAGTTGTAAAGACAAGCTATGGGAATGCCAATGGTGCCTTATGCCATTTCCCCTTCATATTTGAGGGCAAATCCTACACCACTTGTACCACTGAGGGCCGGACAGATAATCTTCCCTGGTGCGGCACCACGGCTGACTTTGATAAGGACAAGAAATATGGCTTCTGTCCAAGTGAATGTGAGTGTGACTTCTGTTCTACAGTATAAGCACTCATGTGGCCTCTGCAGATGACTTAAACGTTACATTTATATATATGTTTATAACAGTGCTGTACACCATTGGAGGAAATTCAAATGGGAAAGAGTGCGTTTTCCCCTTCATATTTTTGGGAAAAGAATACGACAGTTGTACCACAGAAGGGCGCAATGATGAGTATCGCTGGTGTGCAACTACTGACAACTTTGACAAGGACAAGAAATATGGCTTCTGTCCCAATCGTGGTGAGTGCTGGGAGCCACAACTCGTAAACACATTTGGGTGCTGCCACAGTTGTTTTGTTGCTAATGTTGATATTTCTTTGTTTTGGCAGAGACCGCTGTGTCGGGCGGAAATGCTGAAGGAGAGCCATGCCACTTCCCATTTGTGTTTTTGGGAGAAGAGTACGACTCCTGCACAAGTGAAGGCCGCTCAGATGGTAAACTGTGGTGTGCTACTACAGCCAGCTATGACCAGGACCAGAAATGGGGCTTCTGTCCAGACCAGGGTAAGATTGTTAAAATGTGTGTTTAAGCCATCACACTGCTACAAACATCAATAACTACATTTCATAACTTGCATTTACACAAAATGCATTAAACCACAATATAATCTCCCTCCCTTCCCTACTTTCTTTTATTCTTTATTGGTATGAATCATATGTAAATATGTGTTATCATTGTTTCTGTATAATGCAATTTGTCACTTCCTTGCTTGATGCTTCCAAATAAACATAATTAAAACAATAATATTAATAAAATCTATGTTTATGATGCTGTTTTTAGTCTTTCCAGACAACATAACCCTAATCTTAATACACTGTGCTGCAGGTTACAGTTTGTTCCTGGTGGCAGCCCATGAGTTTGGACATGCTCTCGGTCTGGATCATTCCAACATCAGGGACGCACTTATGTTCCCCATGTATAGCTACGTGGAGGACTTCTCCCTGCACGAAGATGACATTGAAGGCATCCAGTATCTCTATGGTATGTTCCCGAAAACACACGTACAATTCTTCACATAGTACTGTGTTTAAAATGTGTTGCTTCATCTCCAGGTGGAAGAACAGGCCCAGAACCCACTCCTCCACAGCCCACTACAGACTACCCTGACACAGCCGAAACTGATGAGACCGAGGGGACGGAGGAGCCCACAGAGCCGACACCCACCACCACCACCGCATCTGTGGACCCTGCACTTGATGCCTGTCAACTCACCAAGTTCGACACAATCACTGTGATTGAAGGAGATCTGCATTTCTTCAGCAATGGGTAAGAATACGTCATGTCCTTTCTACTTGCTTATATTAATTCTAGATTGTATGGTTCCAATTATTGCACTATTTTTCTTTCTTCACACAGTCATTACTGGAAGATGTCCAAACAAGGAAAGCTCATGGGACCGTATCTTATCTCTGGGAAATGGCCAAAACTGCCGGCTTCAGTTGATTCTGCCTTTGAAGACGTTCTAACCAAGAAAGTCTACATCTTTTCAGGTAAATAACAGAAATAGATTCACAGCACCAAAGAAGTGATCCAAAAACATTCACTTACACTTGTTATCCACAGGTCAGCAATTCTGGGTTTACACTGGAAAGGATGTCCACGGCCCCCGAAGCTTGGAGAAACTCGGTCTGCCCAATACTGTCCAGAAGGTGGAGGGTGCTTTGCAGCGGGGTAAAGAGAAAGTCCTGTTATTCAGTGGAGAGAATTATTGGAGGTAAGTGAAATAATTATATCACACCAATATTTCCAAAATGTGTCAATATATCAATATATCAACACTTTGCTTTGTACCCTCTAGGCTTGACGTAAAGGCCCAAAAGATTGATAAAGGCTATCCACGTTACACGGATTCAGTGTTTGGTGGTGTCCCCAATGACGCACATGATGTTTTCCTCTATAAAGGTATATTTTGGGCCAAATGGTCATTATACTTTACATGAGCGATATTCTATATCTAGGTAAATTTGTATTTTTTTTTACCCTTAGGTCATTTCTACTTCTGCCGTCAAAGCTTTTACTGGCGCATGAATTCCAGAAGGCAAGTGGACCGTGTTGGTTATGTGAAGTATGACTTGCTGCAGTGCTCAGATCCCTCAAGACAGTACTGGGGCGCTTAAGTAATCTACTGTTAGTACTGCTGCGCAAAATGTTGCTCATAAATGTGTGGGAGAATGTGATGCCATTAATGTAACCACCTGAAGACTTGTGGAACAAACTTGTGGCCAAAACTAGAACTGGAACAAGAAGCAGGTTTTCAGTTCAAGAAATCCTCCCTTTTTCTACCTTCCTGTAATCTGTGAAGTCACTGGACGTGACTGCAAAAATTACAATTGAAAATATTAACTTATATAAATTAATGCTCAGATTTGCAAAGAGTGTCTGACAGGTTCAGGCTAAACAATATTGAAGTTTTGTTAATATTTATATAACTGGAAATTATTATTTTATTTTGTCCTGCATTGCGTGTGTTTTGTTTGTGTATTTCTGGCAGATGCCTGTTACTTGCACTGGATGAGAATGTGTGTCTCCTTCAAATGTATTTATGAAACAAGAATATTTTTATTACATTTGAAATGTTTCATTGTAATAAACATTTGAGAAACTAAGCATTTTATGTTTGCAATACATTTTCTGTCGAGTTCGGGATTTCGGGCATATATTGAGAAAAAAATTAACTATGAAAGCTTGACTTTACCTCTTTGCGTATGGCGACCCCTGGTGGCCATACGCAAGCCCTTCTTATAACAATGGCATAGCACCATACACATGCAAGTTGGTTTAATCGTGTGTTTTAGTATTTTAACTCTGCATTTGGAGGAAGAGAACTTCGAGGACTTCTGTGAATATTTTTCTAGAAATAAAGATCGTGTCTAGTGATAAGAGTGGATTTTCTTTTTATTACGATGTATTTTACATTGCAGTTGAGCTGGTTGAAGCTCATGACTCATGAAGCAATACAGCCCTTTGTATATTTAGAAACTTGTTTTCGCGGATTCTACATAATATTGTCAGCAATAAAGTAGGCAGGTAGTTTAATGATTGAATCATGTTTTTCTGTCTAGCATACACAGTCACTTCACGGGGGAAGCCCTACAGTAAAGTATTACTCCGCAAACAATTGCGTCATTCGCCTTCCACTGTAAACAATAGTCCTCTTGGAGTTTGTTTGAATCACTAATTCCTTCTAACATCACGACCGTATCCTGGTTGATAGACATGTCCAGTGGATCACCCAGTTTAAATCAACTTGTATATATACTACAGGGGAAGGCTTTAAACATAAACGATAAATAAGATCCGGCTGCTCGCACAGGAAGCTGTGGATCCTCATGGCGCTCGGAGAGAAAGAAGCGAGTATCTTCTGTATCAGACTGCCTCTGGTTATCAACCTTCTGCCGTGAGGACCGCCCGAGCTTTACACACGGTAAGGTAAAAGAGCAGAGATTATTGTGTCTGGAGAGAAATGCTGTCGGTATTGTTCAGGGGCGGTGTTGGGGCGGTCTGGTCCGTGCTGGGCCCTGAGGTCCCCAGTATAACATGAGTATAACTCTGAGATTGCCTGAGTGTAAAACGGAGCAGAGTGAAATGGCGACTAGGAGCAGGCAGGGTGAAGGGCAGCTAGGCCCCTTCTCCACCACTGTGTGTGCGTGTTTTAGTATTGTTGATGTGGATGTCAACAGCACTTAACAAACTCCTAGGTTAAGCGTTGATCGTTCAACAGTTTCAGGAGTCCGTGTAAAGCAAATTGACGCATTAGCACACAACGCTACATGCTAACAACAACAACAGCAGCATTATCCTAGAGCTGAATCCATGCTGCAAACTCGTTTGTCACCAACATCTAAACAACACGCGTCATGTTTCACTCAATTACATTTTGTTACATTGATTAGGGATTTGCTAACGCACCGTAATAAGCCATAGACAATACAGTTTACAAAGTTTATTAAACAATGCTATAGATCCCCGGAATGAAGACTTAATGTTATTGTCAGACAGCGACAATGTACTTCAGACGTTCATAGTTTTGCACTAAGTGTTTGTAGTTATGAATAACATTTTATGCTCTGATCTCCAATCAAGGTTGGTTGATTAAACCTGACTGGAACCGTTTTACCCAACATGAATAAATAGATACACATATTTTGCCCAGTCAAACTTGTAACATAAACTAAGTACCTATCCCGTTAGTTTGTTGACAGTCATGGATTCAGAGGAGAATGAGGTGGAGAGCAGCAGTGATGCAGGTCCATCTGGGATGGAGGAGCCCTCTGAGAGTGGCATGGGCATGGAGTCTTCAGAGGCCATGTCTGCAGACAGCAGTGATGCTGCTGCCCCTCATGCAGCTGCCCCAGAGTCTGACTGCCATGTGGGCCAGAGCTCAGAGGGGCTTGAGGTGAGCAACAACATTAATAAAGTATCACAAAACATGCAGTGTCAGTGACTCATCATGAATGTTGTTAAACAGGTGTTTATGCCTGAAATGAGCTCCAGCACTGATGCTCGAGTGTCGTCAGTGCATCTTCCAGATTCATCATCGGTTGCCCAATCCACCAGTGTGTCCAGTGTGTCTACCGTCACTCAGTCTGTGCTGGTCTCAGAGTCTGTGCGTGTTCACTCCAGTGCCGTTCCAGATGGAGCTATGATGGTGTCGGACTCAACTGCATCTACGTCATCTGACCTGGGCTCTGCCATTGACAAGATCATTGAGTCTACTATTGGCCCTGACATTATGAATGGTATAAGGATAAAATGATCTATGAAGCTTTTTCATGTTTAGAGATAACTTTTTTTACTTTTAGGTTGCATTGCTGTCACCAGCGCTGAAGATGGTGCTGCAGAAACAACCCAGTATTTAATTTTGCAAGGACCAGATGATGGTATGAACTTTTCCTTTCCTTTATATTCTTTAACCTTATATAAATAGTTCACATATACATTTTAATTGTATGTGCTTTTATTGGTTTTAGGTGCTCCTATAGCCGCGCAGATGTCATCATCAGCCTTATCAGGTCGCATATCTATAGAGGCTCTAAGTGAAGGCCCTACATCCACATGTTTGGACCAAAGAGATCTGCAGCGAAACATGGAGCCAGACCAACCAGATGACCAGCCCGGACCCTCGAGCTACCCAGAGGAGAGCAGCAGGCATCTGGACCAGCCTGGACACTCCCGCCCTTCCTTGTATGGGGAGTGTAGCACAAACGGCCCTGATCAGACTGGGGAGTCCTCTTCTTACGTGGAGTGTTCAGGTCAGGAGCCAGACCAGACCCGCTCTCAGTCTGGTTTCCCAGACTACAGTGGAGACAACAGTGATCAGGACCTGCCTGGATATGTGGAATGCAGTGGAGCTGATTCAAACCCCAGCAGCCACTGTCACTATGTGGTAGAGTGCAGTGGTGGTTATCAGGAACAGAGTCATTTGCGCAGTTATATTGACAGCAGTGCAGACCACACAGCTCAGTCCAGTCGGCAATATGTAGCTGAATACGATGTCGGGTGTGTGGACTCGGAGCAGCCTGGCTGTTCTCGGTATGAGGCTCAAGACGATGAAGATGACGATGATGAACAGATGCTAGACCCTGATCAACCTCAGCATTCTCAACAACCACCCCAGAATTCTGGCTACACTGAGAATAGCAATGGCCCAGAGGCCTCGCTGTACGCAGATGACAGCTCGTCAGATCATCCTGTGGCCGACACTGCCGGCTCCCGTGGTCTTCCTGAGGCAATGGAATGCAGCGAGAGTCAGTCTGCGCCTTACATCAGCAGCAGCTGCACATACACCCCTCATACAGAGCCCGAGTCCACCCCTCAGTGCTCATACAGTCAAGAAGGACATCAAGTCACCCAAGGGTTGCAACATGATTCTGGAAATTCCCAGGAAGCAGAAACACCCACAGTTGCTCAGGGTCCAGGATACCCACCACTCAACCTGGAGGACATGATGGAAGTTGTGATTGTACAACAGTTTAAATGTAAAATGTGTCCATACAAAAGTACCTCCAGAAATACACTTATTAACCACATGCGGGACAAACACTTTAACACTACAGGTAAGAATGTTATGTGTGATGTAGAACTGTCATAAATTGAAATATTTGTAGCTTGCCATTATTATTATAGCAACACATGCAGTAAGCAATAACATTTTCTGTCATTGACTTAAATATTATGGTCGTATTGAACCAAGTCAAGTTAGCAGTGAGTTTGTGGGGAAATCAATGTGTAATCACACTCAATTTCTACTGAAGTCACAATAACTGATTGGATTTCATTCACTATGGTTGAATTTAATTTATACGGTACCAGTAAATATCGTAAACATTATAGAAAAATCCAAAACCTATAATTTGTGACTTTATTTGATGTAAAGGAGAACCGTCAAAGAAGCGTAAACGGGGGCGGCCCTCAAAGAGTGAGACATTGGCCCGACGTCAAGCTGAGCAGGAGCGACTGGAGCAGATGAAGACGAAGCAGGAGCAGGCGGCTCAGTCCAAACCTGCAGAGGAGGAGGATGATGACATTGTGGACTCTGGTGCCATAGAGGATTCTGAAGGTAGATTTATTTTACTGCTGCCAAATGTGACGCAACATGTGCGCGATTATTATGTGTCCCCTTGTGTCTTTCAGAGGATAGTGACTATAACCCAGCTGATGTAGACTGTAAAGGAAGACCACCTGCTCTCCTAAAAAGACCAACACATCCCAAATCTTCCTCTGAAGGCCGCCCCAGGCGCAAAGTGGGACGACCACAGAAGTACATTTCACCAGAGGAAAGCTTTAGTAGCAAAGGTCTCTTAACTTATGCCAATAACTGTCTTTTTTTTATTTTTATTTTTTATTTGTTTGCTCTATTGGTATTTTCTCCTGTTTGTTGCAGAAGCAGACCATATAGTTAATGTGCCGCCAGTACATGGGGACACTAGTGCCCATGAAGAGGCTAGTTCCTCTGGTGTAGACGTTGGTGCTGCTGGGCAGACTAAAGAAGATGCTGCAGAAATTGCGATAAGTCAGTCTGACTCTGAGAACAAAGACCCATCCTCCCACTCAGAACCTGGAGAGGAATTCCTGCAGAGGAAACGAGGGCGACCCTCCAAACATTTTCTACGAAAGAAATATAAGAAGTATATTAATCGCAAGTGAGTTTTATAATCATATAATCATAGTCACTCTGAATGTATAGTTTTTCTACTGTTTTACTTGTTTTAAATTCTTTCAGTCGATACTACAAAACTTTAAAACCACTGCAAAGACCTCACAACTGTTGGATTTGTGGCTCACGGTTCCAAACTCAAGAAGATTTGACTTTCCATGTAGACTCTCATGAAGGCAATGATCCCGAGCTGTTCAAATGCCTCCAATGCAACTATCACTGCAAACGTTGGACATCTCTCAAGGTCTGAAATTGGATTCCATAGAAAATAAGTCTATGAACTTCATCTAAAGTGTGTTGTTACTACATAATGATTTCTTATTGCAGGAGCATATGTTCAATCATGAAGGCACAAAACCCTTCAAATGTGACAAGTGTAATTATTCAAGTGTGTACAATAAGGATGTGATTCGTCATGCGGCAGTCCACAGAAAAGTGTAATTCATTTCAACAGTATACAGTATATTCAATTAAATACATTTATATTTTGACCCTAATCTCATTTCTTTCTCAGGAAAAAGAAACCAGAGACGGTGTGTTTATTAAGATCAGTTAACAGTCACTGTTCACATATATACACACATCTTCATAGTATATTTTACAAATTTTGCAGGGTTCAAAGGCCTCAGAGTTCCACTGCCCCATCTGTCACAAGGTTTACCCACTGCAAAAAAGACTAACTCAGCACATGAAGACTCACAGTTCTGAGAAGCCTCACATGTGTGACAAGGTGTGTGTCTAAAACAAATGTAAGTTTTCCAAACATGGCCATTGTTTATTAACAGTTATCCATTTAGTGTGGGAAATCATTTAAGAAGCGGTACACTTTTAAGATGCACCTTCTGATACACATCCAAAGTTTTGGAGAAAACAAGTAAGTCTTGTTGTTATTCTGCTTTATTTTGTACAAGGGTAACTTTTATTTTTTATCAGGTACAAATGTGAGTTTTGTGATTACACTTGCGACAACAAGAAGCTGCTTCTCAACCATCAGTTGTCCCACACAAATGATAGACCTTTTAAATGTGAATTCTGCAAATATGCCACCACTAAAGAGGAGTGTCTGGTTTCTCACATGGCAATTAAACATACAGGTCAGGGCAAATGGACTATTGAGGCAAAACAAAAACATTGGGTTGAATTGCCATACCTGTAATATATATCTTTCGTCAGGGGGGAAACCGTTCTCCTGCAGCATGTGCCACTTTACAACCAAACACAGAAAGAACCTGCGTCTGCATGTGCGCTGCCGTCACCCAGAGGCTTTCGAAGAGTGGTCCCGGGCGCACCCTGAGGAGCCAGTCCAGAGACGACGTAAACCCTTCTTCACCATCCAACAGATCGAAGAGCTCAAACAAAAGCATGACAACTTACAAGGCCTTGAGAACACAATTGTGAGTTTCATACACAAGAAGAAATGAGGAACAGTTATTAATGATTTACTAATGACCATTAACACTTTGAAGGTTGAGGTGGATCCATCAACACTGCAAGCAATTCAAGGCATGGAAAATGCTGCTGTTACTCAAGATGCCTTAGGCAACACTATTATCTATGAGCAAGGTTTGTAAGCTAAGTTTTGAGACGTGCAATTTGCTTTGTAACTATTCATAATACACTTTCTATTTGTAGGTGGATCTGGGGACCTTTCAGCTCAGAATGCGCTTGACCTGCTGCTTAACATGAGTAATGCTCGAGAACTAGTTGGAAACTCTTTACAGGTTTGCCAAACATGGCATAGCATTTAGATAAGACTATCTCTATGTGTAATGCTGGCTATACTTTGTAGGTCGCTGTGTTAAATCCTGATGGTAATGAAAAGGGCACATGGACGGTTACTTCAGCTCAAGGCTCAGCCTCTGGTGCAACACAAAAGATTGTCACTGTCCATGTATCGGAAAATGGTGAGACTGTGCTTGAGGAAGCTTATGAAGCATCTACATCCCAGTCTGCAGAAGTCACTCAAATCGCCCTTGATGACTATGAGAGAAGAGATTATAACGTGGTGGAGCAATCAGCTGAGGATGTCCACAGTTCTGGGTCTGTCAGCTAGAACCACAGCATCTTCTGTTTTATTCTAAATGTTTTTATAATTGACTTAAATCTGTCTTGTGTTAAGTGTTGATGAGAAAGCCTCATCCCAGGACAATACAAAAAGTGAAAAGTACTACCTGACGGCATCGCTTCCTGAAGGTGTTTTACAACAAGTTGAGGTGTGGTGCCTGTTTTGTTTCCTTTCTGTTTGACTTTGATTATTCGTTGAACATGAAAGCTAATAGTTTGATTAACAATTAACGTTCTTTGATTTGTTAGCTGTGCAGCGATGCCCCATCATCTCCCTCAGCGCTGAGCTCCCCCTACACAAAACGATTTTCCTGTCGCATCTGCATGGAGTCTTTCCAGGGCCGCTCTGACATGGAGAACCACAAGAGGGCACACATCGACCCCAACACCTTTAAGTGTGCGGACTGTGACTTCACATCTGCCTCATGGCTTGAGGTCAAGGTATGGTGTGACATTTTCTGAATGTATCTTGGTTTTTAAATAAATTCTCTCTTAAAATAATTATTTCTGCTTTTCCAGAGTCACATGGAGCTGCATTCCTACTTGCGTCCTCACAAGTGTCCGAGCTGCAGTTTTGCCTCCAAGAACAAGAAAGACTTGCGTAGGCACATAATGACTCATACAAATGAGAAACCATTTTCTTGCAACCATTGTGGGCAGAGGTAATTCTCAACTCGTACACCCAGAGTTCATTTGTAGGTTTTAGTTCACCAAAATGGCTGAAAGCTCTGTACTTGTATCCCAGGTTTAAACGTAATGGTCATCTGAAGTTTCACATGGAGCGCCTTCACAATCAGGACAGTCCAACCAACAAGAACTCCGCCGGTACTTCACAGACTATTATTGTTAACGGTGATGAAGAGGCACTGGCCACTCTTCAGAGTAAGACATTTAAAAAAAAAAAAATGAAATCCTCAACATGCGTTGTGATGTTTTTCACCCATGTCCTGCTCTGAACAGCGGTGCAGACTGGGACGGTCATTTCTCCAAAGCAGCTTCAGGCTTTGGGGCCGGAGCACATCATTGTCTCCCAAGAACAGTCTGGATCAGAGCAGGTTTCTATTTGTAATAACATATCATAGTTTTTTTATATGTACCAGTATGTAATGGGTTCTTTTGATCAGGAGGAGAACACTTACATAACTATTGATGGGCAAACAGTTCAGCATCTAGTGACGGATGACAACCAAGTGACAGAGGTTTGTGACTGTTTCTGTTTTTCTATGTTTTTCTCTGCGGTTTACAAAACTAACCAGTTCCCACTAACAGGTCCAATACATCATTGCACAAGATGGAGTTCCACACTTAATTCCTCAAGAGTATGTTGTTGTAGCCGATGGTAACCAGATTGAGGTTTGTTTTGCAGAAATTACTCTTCAGTGTCATCATAATGCGTCTGTGATTCATCTTTTGTTTTCTCTCAGATGTCGGATGGTCACATCATTCAGTATTCAGAACATGACGGGGCTTTTGTGCAAGGGCAAAAGGTTGGCAAATATAGGGTTTTCGTATGATATCTTAAATATGTGCTCATTAACCCTGGTGTGTATGTTGTTAGATTGCTTTGAGCCACGATGGTCAGATCCAGTACCTGCCTGTCACAGCGGATCAGCAGGTGGTCAGTGCTGAAGAGTTGGAGGCGGCGGCTCATTCAGCCGTCACAGGTGAGATTGTGAGCAACAGGAGACTATTGCAGGCTTTCAAATTATATCACATCATTACATCATTCTCTTAGCTTCAGATTTAATGAAAGATTGTGTCAGGTGGGATCTTACATCTGTCATGTATTGGAAAGAAAATGTTTGTAGTTTTTTTCTGAAATTTCACAACAAGTGGATCCACTAAAAGTCAAAAAAAATTCAGAAAGATGTAGGGAAAGGTTTGTGGGGAGACGGGTTGCTATAAAAGCAGCACGGCAGCTGAATGTTAGCAATTCTCAGCAAAAGGTCCAGGCTTTGACTCCTGAGTAGCATACGCTGTGTCTGTGTAGGTTTCCTCCAGGCGCACCAGGTGTACAATGGGCTTCTCCCTTGTGGGGTCAGCACTTTAACATATTAGTGGGACTCTCCTGTTGCATAAAGATCTCTAAAGAGAAAATAAATAAGTCATGAGGTCCTGTAGTCATTCTGCGATGTTGAGCTCTCAAGCTCCTTTTTCACTCTTCGTGTAAAGGTTTTATTCACTAAGAGACTTAACAGAGAAATCTGGTTCAACATTATTATTGCATTCTCAAATATGAAATAACTGTCATGTGTACTCTTTTGTTCTTTGGTACTTATTATTGGCAGAAATTATTTAACCTTGTGATTGTGGCACTCATTTGCTGCGATAACATTTTAAATGCAATCAAGCTCCAGTTTTCTAGTTTCACCACCTTTTCCTTTGGATAAACGTGCAAATAGCGTTTATTGTAGTAAACATATGGTTGTCAGTCTGGTCGCAGGTTTGCTTTGGAAATGGCTGATAAGAATACAGTAATAATACGCACTTTCTGTAATTTTCAGCAGTGGCAGAGGCAGCCATGGCTCAGTCGCAGACTGTCTACACGGAGGCTACACCTGAACAACTGGAGCAGCTGCAACAACAAGGCATCCACTATGACGTCATTGCTTTCACGGCGGAATGACGTCACTACCATTTTAGAGAGCGCTGAACAAACCTCCTGCTGTTTATGCATCTAAGACTCTGAACTCGCTGTTCACCACCTGCAGGGGGCGTTGCACTGGATAGAATACAAGTCGCCTTTTGTACGTTTAGATAATAGCGCCTGTTTCTTAATAAGGGGCAGTTTAACCTTTTTTTTAATAATGAAGAGTTTATGTGCCTCATAGGATTTCATTTGCAAGACAATGTTTTGAAAGAATTGCTTTAGAGAGGGATTATATATAATTTATGTTGTGTAAACTAGAAAGTAAAAGTTTTGATTCACAAAAGATTATTTATGTTATTTGTGGAAAATATATATTATTTTGGTTGATCATGTACATCCATTTTACATTTTCTTTGATTTTTAGGGGAGCCCAAATGTTTTGAGCATTCATGAAAACCAGAGGTGACACCAAATAAATAATTTTAAGGAGCGAGATGACTAATTATTCAATAATACGTCACAATAACATTACACTCTTCAGTCTTTACAGAAGGATGGAATATTCTCTCAGGCAGCTATTTACAAAGTCTGCAGCAGTCTCCTTTCAAGACAACACATTTTATTCGGCAGTTGAAAAGAAAAGAAAAAAAAAGTAACAACATTTAGATTAAGATATCCTTTATTCGTCCAATAGTGGGGGAAATGTCAGTGTTGCATCATCAGTTACAGTAGGAATGAGGAGCACACAGCACAAGATAAATGAACACAGCTCTTTACAAATAACTCTAAAATCTCTGACTTTAGCATAATAAAGAGTATAAATCCTGTGTATTATATTGCAGAAATCTATCATTGCACATTGAATAACTCTTCATACACCTGTCAGCCCATAAACTTACGTTGCTGTGCTTTAGGAGGGGCCTCCACAGTCTAAGGGTAGTGCATCTAGGACATAAAAACAGAAGTAAAGCTGCCTCAAGATGAACTTTGTCTTTGTTGTGCTGCTTTTACTCAGTGAGTGCGATGTATGTCCTAACAACTCTTTTAATCTTTCCATAATGTTGTATCTTGCATGTTTTCTTCTTTTTTTCCAGACTTTTCTCGAGCACATGGGCAGCAGATTATTGAGGAGAACCGAGATGTTTTGTTGAGACTGACCTTTCCTCCATTCTACAACTCTTATGCTAAATCCTGTTGTAAACTGTATCCAGGAGGGTGTTACGTGCTGATGAGCAGTGATGGGTTTGTGTGTGAGTATTTGGGAGGCAGAGTGACCCGGAGCCAAGGGGACGGCTGGGTCCAGTTTGTGATCTCAAACGCACACTTCAGTGACCAGGGCTTTTACAGATGTGCTGTTGTAGGAACCCCGATCTACTCCGACTACTATGTTGAGGTCAAAGGTAATATTGTTATTTTACTCATTCATTTAGATATTTTGTTTTTTGACTTGTTTTTTGTTGAATCTATTTTCAGATACTTCCGATCCTCTTCTATCCCATAAGACCACCTCCAAAGCTCATGGTGTCTCGACAGAACTGGAGCCAACTGGACCCGTCGTGGAACAAGACCTGAGTGATCCTCACAGGTGCTGAACACAAACTATCTAAATGCATCAGTATTATTATGAAGGTGTTAGGCTACAACACTATTTTTAAATGTCTGCTTCCTCCTTATCTGAAATAGAAATAGAAATAGACTGTGGGTTCTTGTTATGCCATATTTAAAGGACTTACTTCCAGATATAACGTTTTAAATTATGAATCAACTATGGCCCTCATTTGTCATCCTTATGAAACCCATGGATTGCTTTGCCAAAAGTTATGTGCAAATATAAAAGGGACAAAAACAAACCAAATAATCTCAAACCTAGATTAGTTACATTTAGTAAGAATTCTTTGTTCCAATTTATTTCCAATTTTTTGATGATACATGTAGTTTAAGTGAAAAAAGCTGATTGGGTGATTTTATTATCTTCAGCTTCGACCGTATTATATTACTTATAAATAATTTGTGCTTGTATCAATATAAGATCTTGTTTTATTGCTGTATCTGCAGAGATCGCTGGAGTTTTCCCCTCTCTGCTGTTATCTCTGTGGCTGCAGTGATTTGTATCTCTTCAACAACGGCTCTGGTTTTCTGCTGCGTGAAGGCAAAACAGAAACAGTCTTGTAAGCAAAATGTATACGTGTGGAAGTTTGTCACAAAATCTTTTAACTTCCAACAGCAGTTATCCAACAACACTGTTGTATTTGTAGACACGAAACACGCTGAGTCATCTCCGACAGACACAACCCCGGTGAGTGTGAAACAGGAACATGCAGTCACGATCATCTGACCCAAACACACGTGCTGCTACTGTGTATAGTAGGTCCAGATTAATATCAGATTATTCAATTCACAATGATGTAGTGCTTTAACATTTGTGCTAAAAAGTAAAAAGTAAAAAAATGTACGGGAACTCCATAATATTGTTTCAGCTGTCTGAATGTTAATGATACAGACTGAATTCATTTTATTGAGATGTTATAAGCTTGGTTAATAAAAAACTATGGAAGATCAAACGTACTATTTTAGTTCTATTTTGGGCGCATTCACACATTAATATAGAAACGATGAACATTTCCAGATGTTACTTTTTTATGTGACTCTGGGTCTGGTACTTTCCAGTTAAATCAGGAACCATTTGGCGAGACATGCACAACACTGACAATCTATCTCGTCTTTCTGAGTTTCATCTACTTCTGCTGCACATAGTCTGAAGCCTTCCTGAGTGGAGTTTGCATTATTCCCTGTCTTCTCCCATAAAAAACCATATGTATTAGTCCCCACCAATCTGGGTCCACGGCCAAATATGAATGTCTTTAGATCCAGTTAGAGCCTGTATCAGTGTCAATGAAGCCAAAGTAAGACCACTGGGATATCAGGGATTAGCTCCTGGTACTGGTAGGTCTGGAAAAAAACATATTTACACTCCTTCCTTTTCCCCTTTGGAGATATGTTTAAATGTATGTAGAACTATTGGTAATCCATTTTTATGTGTAATGATTAGTGATAATGGTCAAACTGACAACACTCTTTCTATCTTTCAGGAAACCAGCACAATCTACACCACAGTAGATTTCAAAGCTCATCAGAAGCCCATAGAAATATACGAAAACCTGAGATCATCCGGCTCACAAGGTCAGCGTGCCCCGCAGCCGGTCGGCCAAGTGGAGTACTCCACTCTGGCCGTACATCAACACCCATGAGTTTGTTGTTTTTCCATCGTCTTTGGATCATTGGTTCTCAAAACGTGGCAGTAAAAAGAAAAAAGGAACATTCTACGACGCAATCATTTTAGTATCAAGCTGATTCTTTGTTGCGGCCTGTTTGGTTGAGCTAATAATGTTTCTTGTTTTGATTAGTGATCACTTGTATTGTGTGATATCACAGATGTAGATTGGTTTGTGAATGTAAAATTAGATCCCTACTTATCTTTGGGAAAGAGAAGACATTATTTTTATCTAACTAAGTTTCGATTCATGTCTTATCTAAACTTTGGAACACTCTGGAAGCTGTTCTTCAAAGTCACAATAGTCTATTCTTCTATTCTTTTCCCCCAAATCTGATAGTAAGGCGTTATATATTTGCAGTGAGAAGGGCAATGTCCCCTGGGATCAGACGAGACTGAAATACTATTGAGTGACATTTCAACTGAAGATAAAGCATTTCTAAAGATTTTCTTCTCACATTTGTTACACATTACATGTGTTCAAATAAACGTGTTTCGTATTTTCAAATGATAACATGATTAAGGCGATCTGTGGAGATCCCCCTTGTCTCTCATGCAAGGCAGCCCAGGAATGTACAGGCACTTTTTCAACATCCACAACTACCACAAAACTTTTTTGGGCGGCACAGTGGCTGAGTGGATAGCACTCTCGCTTCTCAGCAAGAAGGTTCTGGGTTCGAGTCCCAGTCGGAACAGGGCCTTTACGAGTGGAGTTTGCATGTTTTCCCTGTATGTTTCCCAATAGTTCAGGGTGAATGAGAGAGTGTTTGTGAGAGTGAATGTGGGACAAAGGATGCAAATTCAGCCCATGGCTACAATCTAGAGTGATGTGTTCATTAACATGTACTGTCCCAACCAAATAAACAATAAAGGATTAAAAGAGCAGTTTAGGGGCAATCCACACTGTGGAATTGACCAAAGTACCTTATGTTCCGTCATTATCATTTATAAATCAATGGCTTCACACAACAACTAACAACGGAGATAACGTCCACTCAACTCCTGCATGACTCAAAGTGCAGGTGAACTTTGGTTCCGTAGCAGTGTGCCAAACAGTCCACAGGTAGATTTGGAATATCTGATTTCCTCCTCTGCTCTTAAGGTAATGGTCTCTGAATAAATATACAATAAACTGAATGCAAATGTACTGTGTCCAATGTTTCCAAAATGGATGTGCAGGATATCGCAGGATATCGCAGGATATTGCCTGAACATTTGTCAATAAGAGTGTAACTAGAATTGAGTTACTATGATAGGGAATTGAAGAGTTCATGTATTTGTATGACCACCTTTCTCCAGCAGAACGCCATACTGCAATGTGTGATAGGATTGGACCAAAGCGAACACCTCGAACCCCAGTGGATGCGCTTTTGTTTCATCAAAAGGTCTCCAAGTAAGCCCAACAGAGGTCACTTGTTTTGTAAATTAAGAATAAAATTCTTCTTTAAAAAAAAAAAAGTTCATTGTAATCTTAGATTTCTAAAACAAAATTTGGTCAAAAGAATCTTGAACAAGGGTTAAAGCAAGAATAATCCAGATATGTAGCTGGAAAAGTACAACCCCTGGATTATTTAAAGCCCTCATGTATGTGTTTTTACCTGCCGCAGGCAGAGGCAGAGGTAAAGTTTCCTTTCAGACTGAGAGTGACATCAGCCATGTTCTGGATGTCCACTACAGCCCCCAAACCGGCAGCACAGGCGACCCCTTTATTTGAACACTTTCATATTTATTTGCATTTTCATATCTTCCACTTTCCAGCCCCACCGCAAGTTACCACGTCCCATTAATTATTTTCATTTGAAATTTCTGACGTCAGAGTTGGGATTTTTGCTTACTTTGGGTCCGAGAAACTATGGAAAATTGTGGTCAGTGTTCCGGCATAATGGGATTACTCACCTCCTCGAACCGGCTGAGTGATGCCCCGACCCCAGAGTCGATGTTGTTGATGTTTGGCCCAACGATGAGGGAGGCAACTGTCTGTGTCCAGTGATGCTCATACAGAGAAATACAACATTATAGTGAACTTTTGTTTTTGTATTTTTTTGTTGATTTTAATTTTAATTGATTCATTTTCAAAACAAAACAATAATATAGTACAGTCTTTATACTGACATTGAAAGCCAAATGGAGAGGGAAGAAGTTGTGCTAACTGTTGAGGATGTCCATTCCCCAAGCCACCCCCTTACTACCTGCTGTTTGTCACTGTGATTGTTACTAATACATAAACCAATTATGACATTGTTGAGCCTGGTCCGGCCTCGGTTTTCATTCTACAGCCTGAGCCCTGGATCTATAGTCTGTCTGTCCGTGGGAGTGGATCTCTCTCTCCCTGAGGTTTCGCACTTTTTTCTACTGGCTCTCTCTAGTTGTTCTTTGCTGATGCAGGAAGACATCCAGGACATTTATGGACATTTATGGACATTTATGGACATTTATGGACATTTATGGACATTGGTCATCCACTCCTTATGGACCAACGCCACATGTGATTGTGATCATTGCATGTCCTTTGTTTGAACTGTCCTCTCAATGAACATTTATTTTTCTTCATCAATGTCAAATATACCTAAACTGTATCCAGGCAACAAACAACAAACAGAACATTGATCAACACGTTTTAATATGGACAGATTTGTCTTGTTTTAGTTGCATATATATATATCTCTGCGCTGTCTGAAGCACTTGCTTGATTGTTTATGGAAGTAAAATTTGCAAGAAAAGAATCTGCAAGTGCAACAGGGCGTGTCTGTTATGATAATGAGGACTGATCCAGATGGTTTATTTAGATGAAGATACAAACATCACACAGGAAGACATTACACAGTGTTTTTATTGTTCATGTTTTATTGGAATATAATTTATACACTTCTCTCAATAAATAAAATGAATGTGAAAACCAATGCATAGATGTACTTTACACAAAATAAAGTGTCTTGTTTGAATATGCGGCACTTTTGCTCAGTCATTGATACAGTAGACTTTAGTGCATAGAGCTGTGTCAGTGGAAATGTGTGGACGAGTTTCTTGACTTAGAAGTCCAGGTTTTTGAAGTCCTCTGTACATTTGTATCTGTTGTCACCATATCTCGTGCAGACCAGGTGAGGGAGGCAGGGGCAGGTGTGGTGCAGACGCTTTCCGTGATAGGGCATCTGAAACACAGAGCCAGGATGAGAAGGGGTATAATCTGGCAGATTAAACCCGTTCATCAAGTGCTCTAAGAAAGCAGTCCGTTAAACGGCACATTTGAGAGACGGATGTGGTGTTAGTCTTGATTCATGGCCCTGATTGTCCTCAGACGATCAATAGCCGCTGCAGTTATCAGCAAGTTTGCCAAAGCTTTAGTGGAAGCCTGCCAGCAGGACAATCGGGCCGGAAGAGGGCAAACAACAATTTTTGCTACATTTAATTTAATCGAACTGCATTATGAATGAATATACTGCATGTGTATTCATAAGCTCATCATTCATCTTTTCCCTTTCTGCTAGCCACAGCAAGATCCTGCCACAGTTTATTTACCGGAAGCGAATGCTTACTCTCAAGACATAAATGGCACAAACTGCCTCAAAGCACAATTTAAACATTGATACATAAGCTACGGATAGTTGACCCCCTCTTTTTGGGGTGAACTGACACATACAGTACAGTAACAAGAACATTCAATGTGACTTTTGACCTGCCACTTCTGAAATACAAGTTCATAAATAATTAAGAAGCCTTTGGAATACAACTGACTTATTAATAGCAAAGAAATCTATAATAATATGTCTACTGCTGCTGTGATTTACGGCTACATTCCACCATTTTTATCTTATTTTCAGTGGTTAAAATGAATGAATCTTGAAAGCAAAACCAATGACTGAACAGAGAGATGGGATATAAAGCGTATAATTACTGAACTGTTGTGTTTACCTTGTGGCTGAATGGGTGGCACTCGTCGCCCTCCACTCCACTGGGGACACACATCCTAAGCCCCCTCAACCACAGGCTCACAGCACAGCACAGCCCCAGCCCACACTGGAGGTCCCGCTCACAAGCCTGCAACAGAATGACATAATATACTTCTGAACATACACTTGTGATCGGCCCCCATCGTTTCTATAATGTGATTAGTAATGACGATCAGTCAGAGCTATGGCATGATTTCCTCTACAGTCCCTGAAGAGGAGGAGGATGTAGCTCTGTCATCCCTCATTTTGTATCCAATTACAAACCATCAGCAGTTATATTGAGCTTCTGATCCTGAACTTTTCACCGCCTTTATAACTATATGAAAATCTGTATTCTAATTAGATACAATTCAGATTGTATGGGTACAATAGGGATCTATTTTAAATGTTTCTAAAACAAGGACTGTAATGTAATTCTCTCTTCAATGTTATTCGGAGGCAACAGAACTTATAAAGGCTGATGCAAATTATGAATTATGCCAAACCCATAATTGATGTAAATTTGACAATCAAATAGATCCATAACATATTAGTTTGACTGGTTCACTCATAATCATGCATGACACCCAGGAACATTGCATTATTCCATCACTCCAGACACAGCTGACCTGGGACACACTGAAGGAAGTAAGCCTGCCAATCGGCACCATTGGCATCCAACCGCAGGCTCACACGATGTAGGTGAAGTGTCTTGCATAAGGACATATCCCGTTACCCTGTGGACTATTGGCTCTTTTGTTTGTTTTCTCTGTTCTAACTGTTTGATTCTCTCTTGTTACAAAATTTACCATTTTTGCACAGTCTTCTAAGACGACAGCTGGCACATAGAGCTCTACAAAAATTCATTGAATTGAACAAAACGTATAAGTAATTTCTAAAGCCAAATAAGACAAGAAAATTGGCACAAAACTAATTCTACAGTAATATATTAACTTGATTACTGATGATGTTCTGTTTGTTTAAATTTTATTTCCTAAAGTAACTGTTAGCCACAGTTCTTGTTTCCCCCTCACAAAAATATGAATTGGACAAGTATTCAAATCCATCAATCTAGATCCCATGCATGTATTTATGGCCTCTGACACATCTTTAGGACATCTCACAGAACAGTTAAAAAGAGAGGACCACCCTCAGCCCAAAGCATCAAGAAGTGTCTCACTGGGCTCTCTCTCTCATTCTAGTGTACAAAAGATTACATATTTGGACATGCGGTATCATGCAGTCTTCATTATCAAGGTGAAGACCGCATGTTGTGGTCTGACCATGTACTCTTTCTGTTGAGACAAACAACAGGTATGACGTATGGGGGAAAGTTGCGTTCATCAGCTTTAACTTCTACATGTGTTACTCTACAGCAGATGTGGTTGTGGACTCACCCCAGTGATGACTGCAGCCCGGGTCCAGTGGAGGGACAGCAGGAGCACAGACAGCAGCACAGTCCTGATGTCCATCGCAGCAGCAGGATGAGGACTGGTGCCTGATGTGGACGAGCACTGGTGCCTGATGTGGACGAGCACTGGTGCCTGATGTGGACGAGCACTGGTGCCTGATGTGGACGAGCACTGGTGCAGCTGTGGTCAGAGTCTCCAAAAGCACTCCCACCTCCTCTGCCTTTATCCACCTCACCCCCCACACCACTGCCCCATCTTCCCACGCCCCTCTCCATCTCCTGGGCAGACCCTTCACATGATGACAGCTGCAGGAGCTCAGGCGTCACTAACCTGCGTCAGCCTCAAATTATTATTTTTAATAGATTTTTTAAAGTAAACTTATTTTAATTTTTTAACATTTTGAAGTTTGTTCGGGAGAAACCCTTAATTCTCCTCTGTTACTGCACGACTTAGCCCAGGGCATGGAAACTACAGAACCAAACTATTTTGAGAACTAGTTTGTTGTGGCTTGAAAACAAGATACTCCAGCTCCAAGCAGATCTCCTTTGTTGTATTTGTGTAAATGACACATGTTATGAAAAATCTCCTTTATTGGCTTATGTAATTCTAATTTATCAAAGTTGTGAAAGAGTTTGAGTAATATAAACTATCCTGCCATAAAAATGTCTCAAATAATTTCTATTTTCAACTCTCCATATTTGATGTTCATACATTTTTGTGACAAACAGATAATCTGCACAGACATTTTTCACTCATTATAGTCAAAGTGTGCATTTAAAATGTACAAATAACTAAAGCATTCGTTGAGTACAGACCTCTGCCAAGACCGTCTGGATCCAGACGGAAAACGATCATTTGTTCTTTGTCCTATTCAATTGTTTTACTAAAACTGTCCATAACTTTTGTTATCTTGCTGAACAACTAACAGACTAACAAAACTCAGATAAAAACATAATCCACTGACAAAGGAAGGTCACCCATCATCTGTACTTCAGTTAGCAGGTGCTAACTACTAATGATGGTGAGCAACCTTCCTTTGTTTGTCTGACTGAGAGTTCACAATAACATAATCCACTGACATTTAGTTTATATCAATGTTTTTAATGTTTGTCTTTTATTTAAATCAGTTCATATAACTTTATTGATTACATCAATGGTCTCATTAAAAGGCCTCCAATGTATGGACATGCAGGACATGTTTCTGCATGAAATGAAGACTAAAGTGACGGTGATGTGGAGGAGGACAGCTCCAGTGCATCCGGAACACATGGGATCAGTATTTGGATGCAATAGATTATATGAAGACAACATATCGATGAGCATTAACTGAAACTAAAGCTGTCAACCACTTGTTTGTTTAATCAGTGGAATAATGTAACTGAGTACAGTACAGTACAGTAAGGTTTGGATACACCTTCTTAAAGAGTTTTTTTATTTTAACGACCATGAACATTGTAGATTGACACTGAAGGCATCAAAACTATGAATTTACTCATGTGGAATTATGGACGTACTGAAAAAAAAATTATGAAACTACTGATAATAAGTCTTATATTGTAGGTTCTTCAAAGTAGCACCTTTAGCTCTGATTACTGGCATTCTCTTGATGAGCTTCAAGAGGTAGAACATGAGATGGTTTTCCAACAGTCTTAAAGGAGTTCCCAGAGGTGCTTAACACTTGTTGGCCCTTTTGCCTTCACTCTGTGGTCCAGCTCACCCCGAAACCATCTGGATTGGGTTCAGGTCCAGTGACTGTGGAGGCCAGGTCATCTGGCCCAGCACCCCACCACTCTCCTTATTGGTCAAATAGCCCTTAATATAGCCTGGGAGTGAATCTACAGTCAATAGTCATGAAAAGAAAGGAAACTCATTGAATGAGAAAGTGTGTCCAAACTTTTGGTCTGTACTGTACGTCATTGGAAAGTTTCAACGTTGTTGTTCAGCTCAACAAAAATAAAAATGGGCCGGACTGAGTGAAGATGGAGCCAGATTCAGTCTAGCTCGCACTTATTTTATATTTGATGTCATTTTCAAAAGCCATCTGCAGTAAATGACCAGGATTTAGTCATGTGTTTGAAGGAGAGACATCCTTCAGAGAAACGCTGGCTGGTTTATGTGCTCATGCAGATGGGTGTTTGCCTACGTGACGCTGGGACACAGTGACGAGGTTCTGTCTGCACCCACAGCGCAGCTCTGATTTAAGGTTTGAGGGAGAGATATGAGAAAGAGAGAGACCAGGACCCTGTGCGCTATACGTGCAGATGATGGATCTCTGTGACGCCTTCCCCATAATTACAACCCTCAAAATCTGCCCCGTCAGCAACTGCTTCCATCTAACAGGAAGACAAGCCTGCACAAAACTTTGACATTAATTGCAGCCACAAAACTACATTTATCAATAATGAAAACAAAAGTCCACAAATAAAATGTAGGATACTAAACTTAGTAAATAATAAAAATCATAAATTTAAACCTGGTAAAAAACATTATTTTTCTGCTATTGTATTCCACTTCTTGTCTATAAGCAAATAGTTTATGAATAGTCTGATCAGTCTCCCCAAAAGAATGTCAGTTCTCTCTCTTTTCCTTAAAAAACATCACTTCCCTGCTCCTCACTTCATCTCCTCCGAGTGGTATAATCCGATCCACATTTAACTGAGACCTTGTGAGGGATCATTACCAGTTTATTCACTGGAAAAAATAGCTCCTGTAATCTAATTTTGTATTCATGCAGTGGTAAATAATTAAATCAGAAAGTGACATGTGAATGTGAAACAGTGAACCAAAATATTCATTCAATCAACTTGCAAACCCAACAATAACATTTTAAGTGGTACGAATCAAAAGTGTCAAGTTTGTAGATTGCAAGTGTGCAAAATATTATGTTCATTGTTCTAGTTTTGCTTTAATTATAGTGTTAATACTATAGTGCAAATATTTCTACAATAAATAAATGCAGGAGTGGCAGGAGTGGCCTATATATATATAGGAAAGATATAATATATATATATCGAAAGCTCCTTACCATGCATGGCGGGTTCCATCCCAAATCCAGCACCCTGAGACTGTACGTAAGCCGTAAAGAAGGAGGCCGAGGACTAGTGAGTGTGAGAGCCACTGTCCAGGACGAAACATCCAAACTCCATAACTACATCATGGAGAAGGCCAAAACGGATGACGTACTCAGTGAATGTCTCAGGCAGTGGCGAGATGAGGAGGTGCTGGAGGAGAGCCCATCATGGGAGAACAAGCCCCTACACGGCATGTACCACCGGAGCATAACAGAAGTGGCTGATCTCATGAAGTCCTACCAATGGCTAGAAAGGGCTGGCCTATAGGACAGCACAGAGGCACTCATCATGGCTGCACAGGAACAGGCACTGAGCACCAGAGCGATAGAGGCCCAGATATACCACACCAGACAAGACCCAAGGTGTCGGTTGTGCAAAGAGGCACCTGAGACGATCCAACACATAACTGCAGGGTGCAAGATGCTGGCAGGGAAGGCCTACATGGAACGCCATAACCAAGTGGCTGGCATAGTGTACAGAAACATCTGTGCAGAGTATGGGCTGGAAACCCCAAGGTCTAAGTGGGAAACTCCTCCAAAGGTGGTGGAGAATGAGCGTGCAAAGATCCTGTGGGACTTCCAGATACAGACCGACCGAATGGTAATGGCGAACCAACCTGACATCGTGGTGGTAGACAAAGGGCAGAGGACAGCCGTGGTGGTGGACGTGGCAATTCCAAGCGATGGTAACATCCGGAAACATGAACATGAAAAGCTTGAGAAATACCAAGGTCTCAGAGAGGAGCTGGAGAGGGCCTGGAGGGAAAAGGTGACAGTAGTGCCCGTGGTGATCGGTGCACTCGGGGCAGTGACCCCGAAGCTAGATGAGTGGTTACAGCGGATCCCCGGAACAACCTCGGACATCTCGGTCCAGAAATGTGCAGTGCTAGGAACAGCAAAGATACTGCGCAGAACCCTCAAGCTCCCAGGCCTCTGGTAGAGGACCCAAGCTTAGAGAGGGATAACCGCCCGCGGAGGGCCAAAGGTGAGTGGACAATTTTTTTATATATATATATATATATATATATATATATTTCTTTCCTTCCCAACATAATTGAAATTCCATGGATTTGCCTTTGTGCTTGGAAGAAACTGGAAGCTGATGGACAGTTTATGCTTAAATGCCTTTAAATCTTAACTGAGAGCATTTGAGGCTGCCTCAGGTCTCTAACTGTTTTACTTGAGGTGAATCCTTTATATGTCAATGCCATCCTGTCATGGTAATGAGTCATGTCAGTGTAAATGTAATTATGCAATTTCGCTGCCTCTTAGCAGGACTCCCTTGATTTCAAACTCAATGGGATGGGATTTTCCTGTTTGTTTGTTTTGTTAATAAGCAGCGAGTCCATAGACTGTATCAGCGAGTCACAGACTTTTGAAAAAATATGTACCACAGGGGGCGCTGTAAGGGGAGTACCTAAACTTTGGTCAACTTTATCCTTTTATCAATACTGTAGACAATTGTTTTATGGTATGAGGATATCTTATCTTGCCTTAAGATAGTTCATTAAAATCTATTTAGCTTCACTGTTAATGTGGATGTTAGAAGAAGAACTTTCTACTTTCGTACCAAAAGACGACCATTTAAATGCAGTTAGTGTGTTGGGGCGGAGCCCTAAATGTAGCTCCCAGAATGATGAGACATGATTAACATTGTTTTCTTCATCATCTAAATCAAGGGTGCCCAAACCTTTAACAAGAGCCACGAGCTGAAGTAGAAGGAAGAGCAAGGAAGATCGTGGAAGGATTAATTTTTATGAATTCGGATGCAACCTACAGCTTCCGCCGATGTCTTGGTCACGTGATCCTAACAGGAAGTAACACAACGAAAGATAGATTTAGGCTTTAATTTTAATTTAGAAGCATGGAGTGGAGCCTGGAGCAGCATCTGGACGATACGTGAGTCCACACACATCTGGAGTAATGGCTCTGTGATTGTTATGAAGCGTTAAAAGAACCAAATCTGCTCTTTGTGTCTTTTACTTTCACGCAGAATGAAGAACCCAGCTGTGGTCGGGGTGCTATGTACGGACCAACAAGGCCACAATCTGGGCTGTAAGCTATATATTAATCATAGACTGTATATATTAATATATCGTGATGTCTATATCTATAGAGGGTGATACAGTTGACTATGACTCTGACTCCGACAGTGTATTAGAAATACCCAGGACCTGTCAGTATATATTTATCAGTTCTTGTTTGTATATTCATTTATTTTTAAGTTTAAATTAAAACGTTATTTTGGAAATCTACCTCTGCTCCACACTCGATCATTTAATATTTACCTCATCCAGAGTATTATGTATTTGTTGTCAATGCTTGTACCTTGGGCCATGTAGCGTCGTTAGACGTTATCGGGTATTTTTAGATCAGCTTTGCGATTACTAGGCATCATTGTAATGCCTTTAGGTGGAATATCCTAAAGGAAAAGGACTGGATTTCCTTAACATCTGTAAGTAGTCCCACCATGAGACTAATAAAGGCATTTATTCATCGAGATTGTGAGGAAGTTAATTATTGTATTTATTATTAATTTAGTTGGCACTGTTCATGTTAATAAACACACTCGGGATTGTAGACTTTAACAACGTTAATAATAATACATTTAATTTATAGTGCACTTTACATTTCCAGGAAACTTCAAAGTGTTAGCCTTTGGATTTTTTCCATCTGTTGTCCCAGAGTTACATTCACAAACACAGCTAGTCATTCTCAATATGTATCCTCAGGTGTTGTTAGTGGTTGGGGAAACCTGCAAACTCCATGAAGAATGTTCAGCAATTTTACCTGGAACCTTCTTGCTGTGAAGCATAACAGGTTGCCACTGTACCAGTGTGATTAAACCATCTTTTCAGGCTTTCTTGTATTTTAAATTTGTAAATTTGTCTCATTTTAACTAAAAAACATTTGTGACCACCTGAGCGGGTCTGTGATCAGACGCAGAACACCTCCATCCCTTGCTGCTTTAATGAGGTGGGGGATCACCTTCAGTCTGCAATTACACAGACACACTGAGCTGCGTCTATCTGGTTTGGTTTGTGAGCAGAGCTGGACCCTATAATACAGCTTTACAAGCCCAGTGCGGGTAGGACAGCTCTGGGTAGACCACAGAGTGGATACACCACATCTAAGCTTTACATTGGCCTGCTTCTGTTTGAGGTTGAGGAGGCAGGGGAGTTCAGTCTGCTCCAGGCTGCTCTTCCTTCAGGGTTTAACTCCTGTTCCCCACTGTTAAACTGTAACCATGTGACTCTAAAAGCTCCAGTTCATTGCTCAAGGCCATATTTTGCGGTTAGATACTGTAAACAGTTGTGCGGTCATCACCAGCTCTCTTACAGACACACACAATTCTGCCTCAGTCCATGTGTAAGGGCAGAATTTAAATTATGAATATATTCATTATGAACTTATACAAATAATATATCGTATATGCAGTAAGTATAATGTATGATTAAATTATTGAAATAGATGGAAAATCTAATTAAACTATGTTTGTCTGACCAATGTCTTCATGGACATTGGTTTCTCCCTATGGTCCAATACCATGTGTTCTATATTAACTGTTGATTATCTGATCCGAGTTGGTGATTTCAATGTTTTGTTAAGTCCTCTGAGAGGATTGCTGTTGTGATTTAGGGCTATACAAGAATGTATTGTATTGTAATTGTGGTCTTTGAAATGGGACTGTAACACATGTCTGCTGTGCCTTATCCACAGGCCGTGGTTCCCTGACAGATGAGCATGGAGGGGTGGTGTCAGTTTTGGCCAAGCAGGCTTCAGCACTGACCCGAGACCCCACGGACACCCCCACAGTGTGCTTGGAGTCTGAGTCTGGGTAAGTCTTTATTAACATCAAAATATAAAATGTATCATTGTGTGTGGGTTCAGCTTCTGATGTGCATAACCATTTATTGTGGCCATGCTGCCACCTACTGGATGAGAGGAAATGATTAGCTCATTTTAATTTTTACAAAAAGGTAGAGAAGGCATATATTTTTCTCTTGATGATAAAACGTTTTAATATTATAATTTGATTACTATTTCGTCATGGCCTAGATTAGTAAGTAATGTTTCACTACTAAGCTGTTCACAGTGTAATATCGAGTGCTTTGCCTTTGCAAATGCTTTATGATCCAAAACTATTATAACATGTGAGCTTGGCTGAGCTCGGTTGACATTGCAACAATGAAATATTAAACATTTGAAGTAGATTAAAATGTAACATTATCTGATAACATTAACTGCAGTGCCACCCAAAGAATTCTGCACTGCTGCAGTTGGATCTAAACATCTTTTTCTTCACAGAAACATCCTGATTCGGAGCCATGGGACCATCACAGTTGCAGTACATAAGATTGCGTCCTGAAAACCGTTTTATAGAAGAAAAAAAATCAATATGCAGTTGACAAAACATGATCGTGCTGTGCTTTGTAAAGTGTAAATATGTATCTTATACACTATTGTACTTTGTATGAACTTATCAAGTCTCATATTTAACGCAATGTAAGCCTTTTTTAACACCAGAATATTTGTGTTTTCTTATTTTGTTGTGGGTGTGAAATAAAGTCTGAAATGAGATGCTTTGGACTGCTCGTGTCTGTGTTGTGAGTTGTCAATTCCACCAGGTCCAGTGTTTGTGTTGGCTTTGGGGCGGGGCTTCAGCGTCAACAATGGCCTGCAATGGTGTCTGTATCTGACACAGGGCAAAGATAGCGCATGGGCGTATCCACTCTGTCATAGTCTAAGTGGCCGTCTGTGCATCGTTATAATTGAGCAACAACCTCTTGTATTGAGCAAACAGCCCCCTCTCTGCGATGCGGTGTCTCCTCCCATGTCCCAGCGCAGCATTGCATCTCTGAACCTCCTCCTCCTCCTCCCCCTCCTCCTCCCTCCTCCTCCTCCCCCTCCTCCGGGTCCCGGCTGAAGGAGCGCTCAAACTGCAGAGGTCTGGAGTTAGTTGAAGTTCAGCAGCAGCTCTCTTGGGTGGGTCACATGTCCTCCTGAATGCGGTGAGAGGCGAGACAGGAGCGCGTTAAGACTCTCCAAAAGTAATATTACTATGGCATTTCCATCCCCGGACAACAAAGCATCGTTGCTGCTGCTGCTCCTGCTGCTGCTTCCCCGTGCCACAAATTTCCTCTGCGCATCCTCAAGACGTTTATTAGCGGCACACTATATTATGTTTTAATTAGGGAGGATTTGGCCATTGAGAAACTCAGGTATGTTACCGCTAGAAAGTAGGAGCACAAGTTAAATACCGTTTTGGTTTATTTCCTCGTGTTTTTTCTCTCTCCCAAAATGTGTAACTTTAAAATTGGCACATGATATGGATTAACATTGCCCAGTTACCTGCATGTGTTTCCTCACCCAGGAGACATTTGACTGATGGGCAGAATGCAACAGGGCTGTCAAGTGGAGATAACAGCTCAGTGACGGTAAGGTTAGGTACATGCAGTTTTTTACTATAGCTGGGGAGGCTGTTTACTTTCACGCAGTCGTTTGTGACCAGGCTACTTTGACTAAGCCAAAAGCTCTTAGCACTTACTATGTAATCTACCAAGTACACAAAAATGCAGCTGGTTCACTTGTCAGTTGTACATGTGTTTTGATTGTTCTATTCACAATTGTGTTCTTTATTGTGTAAATGCCGGTTCAGGTTGTTGTTGTTGTTGTTGTTGTTGTTTTTTTGTTTTTTTTCAAACGTATGAATAAAAATATATACAGTTTAGGGGTAGCCTTAAAACTCATAAGCAACAAGATATTGTTAGGAATTTATAGGTATTGATCCCTATAATGTAATCTTTTAATTCAAAGTGGGACAGTGTCTATTGTTGTGTGGACATGTATAGGCCTGGATACTCCTTGTGCAGTAGATGTACTATGTGTATCAATCACTTCAGCTCTTGCAATCAATACGATTTTTTTTTACATTGAAATACATCATATAATCTTTTCATAACATCACAGTTAGCAGTGAAATTATTGAGTACCACATGAGGAGACTTAAGGTCTTCTGAAGAAATTGTATAATTAAAGTTGCAATACTATGACCTTTGACAAAAAAGAACATAGTTACGAAAATGTATACAATGATTACACAAATCTACTGACCCTGCAAATGCATAACTCCTTTTCATGATCTTGGTCTGAGCCACATCAAATCAAAGTCCTCAATGCATAGCCAGTTTTCCAGAAATAAGGACATTTTAACAGGTTTTTTAGAAAACTCTGTATTCATTAACACATTTCAGAGTCAAGCGTCTAGCTGAATATCTCCTCACCTTGTAGCAACTGGTGAATGATTCTTAGAGATGATATAATTCACCACTCATCCACATGTCTTATGTTCATAAGGAGTTCTATCATTTGCAGCTGTAAAGCCTCCTCTGGAAAAGGTGTGAAGGAGTTTGAACGCAGCGGCGTCTAGGTCCAACTGGTTGAGCTTGATCAGCGCTTCAAACTCAGTCAGATGTCAGAGGTCAGAAAGCAGGCAAATAAATTATGGGTGTGTTCACATTTCAGTCAATTTGGGTAAAAACGCTTCATCAAAGGGGAAACTAAACATGTGAAATCACCAAATTTACAAATGGAGGAGTGAACACATCTCCACAAATCTATAGTACAAATGTTCCTTCTCAATCCCTTGCTGCAAAACTGTTGATTTTGTGTTTTTTGGGAAGAACTTTGGGCCAGTCGTTGTTCCACTGTGCTCTATTTCCCACATGATGTTTCATCCTTAATGAACTCTACTGAGGAGGAGGGGTGCACTCGCTCCTGACCCTGTTTAAACTGTGCAGGGACCCGGCAGGTTGATGGGCAGATGATCTGAGAGCTGAATTGGGGTTGTTCTTGTGTACCCAGAATTTAATGTCATTTTTCTTAGACAATAAAGTAAGAAAACCTTTGAGGGAGCATGCAAAACCCTGTAAAAATACTGAGTAAAAATAAACTAAAATCTCTGCTTGAAAGATGAAAAGACGGATGACACATTTACATGTTGAAAAACACATGTTGATTAATGTGCACGGTCCCAATTCAAATGAAGATAAAAAAAAGTGGTAAAAGAAGAGAATGTGCGTGCCCACCTCAAGACTTTCTTCACCGACTCCCACTGTCTGCTGTCGTTGTGTCCTTGGCAAGACACTTATCTCTGGGAACACCAGCCACAGTCGGGCGGCTGCGGCTTTAAAGTGCCAAACTGCCACTGTGTCCTTAGGCAAGACACTTTACCCCCCATTGCCTAGAATGAGTCTGAGTAAAAACACCACATTGGAATATATTAGCAAAAGTCTCCAGTGTGCACAGACAAATACAGACATAAAACATTAAAAGTACAGAAAAAAAACAAATAAACAGACAAATGTCACTGTGAAATCGATCGACTAAAACAGTATCAATACAGAGCAAGAACATTAAAGTGCTCTGTTCAAACAGATAACAGCTTGTGGGAAGAAGCTGTTATCATGTCGAGATGTCCTGCATCTCAGAGAGCGATATGGTGTGTGTGTGTGAATGGTTGGTGGTGGTCGGAGGGACCGATGGCACATACTGGTTGCCTCGCTTCTGTCAGTGTGCCCCAGGGCAGCTGTGGCTACAGTAGTAGTTTATCACCACCGTGTATGGAGTGAAAAAATAATGACATGACGCTTTGTCTTTGAGTGTCAAAAAAGCGCTATATAAAACCGATGCATTATTATTATTAATATATGAGCAGTTGTCTCACCAGTGCCAGCAGTGGAACACTTCAGGTGGTTGAGTTTATAGGAAAGTAGAAAAAGATTGGGAATCCCCATGTGAGACAACTCTTTTCTTGAGTGTCGGTCATACATTTGGTGCTTCATTTCAAAAATATAAAAAGGTCTTGTTCTTCACTGCCGCATTTAAAACAGCTAATAACTGATCACAGATGTTTCATTGAGCCCCACTATTTTCACAGAAGTAGTTGTTGTAAAGTACATGGTAATCATTCCTTGACTTTTAAGATGTTTCTACCTTTGGATGAATACAGCTGACCTTTAAAAAACTTGTTGTGCTTACTATGAAAATAGAAACAGCTGTAATAATTTAGCACTTTACTCATTAAAGATCTTTGGTCAACCAATAATGGTGTTAGCGAGTGTGGGCCCTGTGGGTGAAAGCCAGAGGAAAACACAGCATCCGTCCCACAGTGGGTACAATTCTGTGTTGCAACACACAATACAGAGCAGCGGAAATTGAAAGCACTCAAAAAGATGAATAAAGAGAAACTTTACATTTTGTGAGTTTAAAAATATATTCATGGTCAAATTAATTATAAAAAGAAAATTAAATAAACTTAACCAAAGTCCTTTCTAAAATAATTTCTATGATTTTACCAGGACTTCCACAAACCCGGAGAGTTTTTTTTTTTTCTCTTATCATGAATGTGATCCTGTTATTATGAAAGCCCGGCCTTCAGTGTAAACCGTTTACTAAAGTGGTATGATGGACCAGAACCATTGACCAGAATCAATCACAGAACTAGTATATGGCTTACTTCCTGACTGTTAACGGGCATAAGAAGATTAAATGTACCCTGACAAGTTATGATTCAAGCAGGTAAAGAAATAAAACGCCACCCAAATGGCCATAAGTCATGGCCACTTTTCAACACATTCAACACAGAAAAAACAACAATATGAAACACAGGCTCAACTCTGAAATCCCTCTGACGAGGACACCCATCCCCGTAGCAACAGCCCCTTCTGAATGAAACCTTGACCCCTCCAGATGGATCAGGTCTCTGCTCACTCTTCCCTAGAAATAGCTAGAGGGAGATCATGTAGAAGAGAAGAACGCTGATCTCTTGCTCAACATGGACGATCATGTCACTACAGGCACCCGATCCTTGCCCAGGATTAATGACAAACCAGAAAGTGCAGGAGGCACATCAACAGTTACATGGACGGGCACGAACTTGCAGTCCAACATTATCGTGTGCTTTGGAACAGGACATGCATCAGATCAGAGCTCGAAGAATACATTGACATCCTCCACATGTCCCTCATTCAGAACTTTTTCAGAGTTTGTACCAAGCCCCAGTTCTACATCATGGTGCTACCGCCCCTTAGGCTTCGCTATGGGTACTCCGGAAGCATCTTGCTTCCCGCCAGAGAGAACTAAATGCTCCAATCACCTGCCAGTCCCAGCTATAAATAGCCCTCTACGGCCCGTGCCAACCACTTTTCACTCTGGCGCCACTGAGAGAAGAACTACTCACTACTTGAAGATGTCGTCTCCTTCCCCGTCGCGTCCGAGAACCCCGTCGCCCTCCGGCGTCGGACGAAGACGGTGCAGGAGCTGCAGGACCAGGATCTCCCGCAAGGACCAGCACAGCCTGTGCTTCCTTTGTCTGGGCGTGTCCCACTACCAGGGAGACGAGGCTGGCTGCGAAGCGTGCCTCTCTCTCCCCAGGGAGGAGAGAGAGCGCCGCATGGCGTTTGTGGACTCCGCGGTGGCTCACCCGGGTTCCTCCCAGGAGGACGAACTCGAGGTGGAGTATGTGCCGCTAGACCTGCCTCCCGCACCCAGGGAGTGGGGAGACTGCGTCGTGGAGGAGGAGGAGCGTGAGGAGGATCAGGCTTCCTTCATCACGCTAGACGAAGCTTCCTCCTTGTGCGAGCCGGACCGGTTCCCGCTCGATCACATGCCCCGCCTCTTCATGGCTGCGGCGAGGACCATGGAGACTCCATTCCCCCCCGCAACCCGCGCAACCCAGGGAAGACTTCACCTCGGTGGGGTCTTCTCAGAGAGGGAGGAAGAGGCAGGCGCCCACGCTGTGTCCGCGTATGGAGCCGGTGTTCCACTACGCCACACGTGACTGGACCAAGCCCTCCACAGCTAAGAAGCCTGCCCTGGGGTACGGTCCTTACTGTGAGGTCCAGGACTGGTCCTGGTCCAAAGGCGTACCGGAGGTCGAGGATGCGGTGAGGCTGGCGCTCCTCCCCAAATCCTCCCTGTGGCCGAGCAGCAAACCGCTCCTCCCCACCGACAAGGACCGGGTGTCCATGTCGGTACTGGACCGGTGCTACGCCAACGCGGCACAGGTCGTTGCGTTGGCGAGCAACATGGCGCTCATCACAGGCGCCTTGGACAGGTCACTCGCCGCTGGCGAGGCGCTGAGCGGCGAGGACCTTACCAGAGCCAGGACCACCACGGCAGCGACCCTCCGCATGATCCAGGCGCTCGCAATTGATGGTGGTCGGACGATGGCAGCGGCGCAGGTCGGTGCCCGTCACCTATGGCTGGGGCTTGCTGATGTCCGAGAAGCGGAAAGGAAGCAGCTTCTGGACCTCCCCATCTCCACAGAGTCCCTCTTCGGCCCAGATATGAGAGGTCTGATGGAGAGACTCGACGGAGCGGCGAAGGACTCCGCCAAGTTGGCTCCTCATCTGGCGCCGCGTCAACAACGCCGCTTCTTCGAGAGCAGAGAGAGAGGGAGAGACAGGGACCGGTCCCCGCTACGTCGCCCTGCCTTCCCCCAGACCACTGCACGCTCGGCGCGGCCTGCTCCAGCGAGATCCAGGGGCCAGGATTGGACCTCCGGAGGCCCAAGAGACAGATCTCTCCAGCGTCCTCCCCCTTTCGGTGGTGGGAGACGCGGGGGAAAAGCTTTTTTCAATAAAAGAAAGAATCAAGTTTATCCACTGTCTCAGTCCTCTGTTCCCTTGCACCACATGCCGTCACAGGTAGAGGGCAGTGTGGTCTTACACACAGAGCATACACACGGTACAGAGGGTGGTTTGATAGGAATGTCTCAGACCACCGCTCAGAGTAACAGATCCAGTGTTTCATATCTACAGGGAGTGTTGAAACGCGAGGGTCCCTATAACAGGGGATTTACGGTCCCTTCTAGCTCCACTGTCCCTCACACTTCTCCAATTAGCAGGGGTCTGAAGCGTAAGAGGCAGGCTGTGGTTACCGAGGCAACGGATCAGGGTCCGTCTGCCCCGCACTGCAGAGAAGCAAAGCTCGCTGCTATAAGTGGAACAAGGGGCAAGGACTCCTATGTTTCGCGCAGCAAGACAAAGAGGAGAGCTGTGGTTACCGAGGCAACGGGTCAGGGTCCGTCTGCCCCGCACTGCAGAGAGGCAAAGCACGCTGCTGTAAGCGGAGCAAGGGACAAGGACTCCCCTGTTTCGCGCAGCAGGGAAATGAGACAAGCCGTGGTTGCCGTGGCAACGGGTCAGGGTCCGTCTGCCTCACACTGCACGGAGGCAGAGCACGCTGCTGTAAGCGGAGCAAGGAGTAGGGTCTCCTCCGCAGCGCGCAGCGGGGCAAAGGGACAGAGACAAGCTGTGGTTACCAAGGCAACGGGGCAACACAGACTTCCTCGGCCCTTTCGTGGTTCCCCCCTCCTCTGTGAAGGCACCAGGAGTGTGGGGGGAATTAAGATCAGGTCTCACGGGC